GCTGTGTCACCCTCACTCTTCAGCAAAGTCAAAGAGCATCACACAATATTGAACGTTTTTGGAGTCCTTAGGACAATGCAGAGAGCTGGAGCTTCACGTGTGGGTCTGATCCACACCTGAACCAAGGAGAGCTGGACTCACGAGCACAGAAAGCAGCAGGAGAACATAGTGGAAGTAGTGGGGAGGCTTTCAAGTACTTATAGTTTCTCGAATTTGGGTTTGGTCCAAGTTTCATCAAGATTTCTGGAGAAACACAGAGGCCTCAAGCAATGAAGAGTCTAAGGATATTTCTTGTAGTGGCCTCCAAATTAGCAGAGGTCCTGGATCACAGAGACCCAGCAGGAAAAAGACGACACACTTAAATTATGTAATGTGAGGAGCATTTAATAAAGGAATTATATACAAAGAGCAGGGCGTGGAGGTTCTGCAAGTTCAGTGACTGGGGCTAGTCACTGCGAGGGCAAAGACAGTGAGTAGTTACTGAAACCCAGAGAAAGAGAGAGAGCTGTGTGGTGAGGGCTGCCTGACAGATCCTGGGAAATTCAGTTGAGAGCTGCAGCCAGCCCCCAGTGACCCCACAGGAAGGGACCTGGATGAACAAATATCCCAACCTCTTTTTCCACCTCCCTCCAATCTCCTGTCCACTGGCCAGACTCAAACGGAAGCCAGAGGACAAAGGAAACTGTCCATCCCATCTACACAAGTCAACCCCCCGGGGCACAACCAAGATGGAGACAAGCTGGAGACAAGGTGGACATTGGGCCTGGGCTGGGGGAGGGAGAGCCAACGGCAGATGTCCTGCACAACTCCTGTATGGTATTTAGTTTTCTAACAGAAATAGCAATGAACTTGAAAGAATGCACTTGTACTTAATCTCTGCTATTTATCAAGCATTCTGTACCAAAAACTTCACAACATTAAAAAAAAATGTTCTGTTTGCCATAACAACCCTGGGGGTAGGGGTGGGGGGCAGATACTGGTATTACAGGTGAGAAAGCCAACGTTCAGAGAGGTCAAGAGGTGTGCCCAAGGTCACAGAGGTGATCAGTAGCAGGATTAGTGTTCAAACCCAAGATGCATAGAGAGCGAAAGGAAGGCTTTGGGTTGGTACATAAAGCGGTACATATCTTACCGCTTCTAATGAGAAAGAAAAAATGTATTTATTTTACTTAAATAGCTGTTCTATTAGCTTGGAGTATCATAAGAGATTGATAACTTCGGTTGTTAACAGAGTGTTTTTAGTAATGAATTTGCAGAAGACCTGGTATGTCTAGCATAGGAGTGACAGGCACTATTAAATGGGACTAAAAAAGGCTAGTAAGCACCTTTAGTTTAAAGGGGAATTTGATTATTTTTTAAATATGAAATTTTAATTTTTAAAAAAAGGTGCAAGAATTGCAAATACAAAGTGACTTCTCAGTCAGGCAAACATTCATACTTCTCTCTCGCATAGGACCTGCTTCCTGCATCACTACCTTCCCCAGGTCCTTTTGAGGGGAAGAAAAGAAAGACCTACTCATCTCCATTTCATTCCAGGACAAGCAGGACATTATGTAACACTCAAGAAAAGCAAAGTTTTCATTTTATACCATAGCTGGTCTAGAGAATTGGAATGAGTTGGAAAGCAAATATTAGGACTGAACTGCAGCTGGTAGCATGTTTACCTTACAGTACATTTCCTTCTGAAAAGGTGAATCAAAAGAATTTTACTTTTGCATGAATTGAACAAAACACCACCTAGGGGCAGTCAAAAATATTTTAAAAGTGAAGAGAACATAAGTTCCTTGTAGAAAATTTGGATTCAATTCACTATCAGCTTATTTTACCAGGTAACTTTAGTTAAATATTAAAAAAGGGCTTACATAATTCGGGTTTTGGGGGGCTATAACTGTAAAATGTTGGGCAGATAAATTCCTGTTGCACCCAAATACCCCTGAATACTCCTTTCTTAATGCATGCGTTCCAGTGCAGTATACACAGGCAATGGGACACAGTCTCTGCTTGGAAGCCCAGAAAAATACCCTCCCCACATTTCAAATTGTTCATTTTCAAAACTAGCAGGCGATGATAATTTGCTTCACTGGACGTACCAATGAGCCCTGCAGTGTCCCTTCTCTGTGTAGCCCCAAGAGTCACCTCCACTCTTCTCAAAACTTTTATCCACGTGCCCACCTCTCTGAAAGAGATCCTCTGCCTACGACTTCACAGAGAAAAGGAGAGTCGTCACATGCGAACTCACTCAACTTCCTGCCACTGAAGCTACACACTTCCCTCCTGCCGTGTCCAGGTCCCTCCCTGCTGACTCATTCCAGCTTCGTTACAATGAGCTGTCTCTCCCATCCTATAAGCAGACAAACCTCAAACTTATTCAGTGACTGCCTCTACCTTTAGTCCTATTTTCCTTCTTTACAGGTTATCTGCCTTTGCTGTCCCCAATTCTTTATCTGCCATTTGTTCCTTAACCAGATGGAATCTGGGCACTTAAGGCTTCTCTGCAGCATTGACCTCCAGTGGCCATTCCTTCCTCACTGAAGTGATTTTTGTCCCTTGGCTTCTATGGCACTGTCCTGGTTTCCCCTCCACCCTCACCTCCCACTTTCCTCTTCATCTGCTTGCCCTTCAAACGTTGGTGTGCCCTGGGGATGGCCTTCAGCTCTGGGTGTTTAACCCACTTCCTTGGCTTAATTTTCTGGTGGACTGAAGGAGTCTGCCACCCAAACGCCTACCTCATTGTTGTTCAAAGTATTTAGTACCTTCTTTTCATTGTTCATTTATACTCTGCCTTGTTGCAAAATAGAACTGAAGTGTAACTATATGTCTATAAAAGCAAGAACTATGTGCTATGTATTATGCCCAACAACTTTAAATGATTTATCTCATCTAATTCTCACAGCAAACTCATGAATCAGGTTCTACTTCTTTCATCTATTTTGCAAATTAAAACACCAAGGCTCTGAGCAGATAAATAATTTTTCCAAGGTCATACAGTTAGAAAGTAATAGAACTAGGATTCTACAATGGGGTAACATTTTAATATTAAATTATACAATTTTTATTTCTTTACCCTACTCCTCTCACCCCAACCATTAAGCAGTCATTGTTTTCTAGGTGCATGACCTATGGAAACAGTCTAGAACAAAGAAGTTATAGCTCAATGTTGCCTATCAAAACAGACATTTCTAAAGCCTGTGGTAGAAAAAAAAAGTAATGAGAGGCCTGGCTTTCTACTGTAAGAACTAAGCATTTGAATGAGACAAGGATTCTTGCTGTACCTCCAAACACTGAGAATTAAGCTTGGAAATTTACAGAATGTACCAAGAACCACCGAGAAGAGAAACTGCAGAATGTGACATACAGGTCATGCTTCCTGAGTTGGGGAGGAACTTGGGAAGATTTGGGGGGATGAGTACTTAAGACATGTGAGAGCCTGTTCCTTGAACCCCACTTTGGGGCCAACATTCTGATATAAGGGAGTGATGATGTCCAGGAGACAGATGTGGGGAAATTCAAAGCAGATGGGCTTGTTTCCTGCTTTTTAGTACATGGCAAAGAAAGTCTGCAATTCTCCCAGAGATGCCCTGTGTTGGAATGGTGCCAGAGTAACACGACCCCAGGAGCTGGATTAGCAGTGGATGTGAGAGCTGTTTAGATGGATGTGTCCCAGGATAGCTTCACAGAGGCCTGGACCCTCCAGAAGGGGACAGGGAATGCAGCTAAGAGATCCTGGACTCCAAAGGAGGGGCACAGAAGTGCTGAGAGACTTGGGAGCCTGGAAGAGATATAGGGTCAGGACAATGGGGTCTCAAAAAAGCTGGAGGCAAGACTCACCAACCTCAGCAGCGAAGCCTGTGTACAGCGATCAAAATCCAGGTGGCTCTAGCCCACTAGAGGGACTAGACTTCAAGGGATACCCGCAAAGACAGAATGACAGCTTGGGGTCTGGGCCACCCTTCCTCATTGCTATTATGTAATTTGAGGTTCCCTCTGAGCCAAAATGTCACTGGGGAAGAACAGAATGGAAGCAGGCACATCCCCTGAAAGATGGAATACTCACACCAAAGAAACATAGTAAACTTAGCGGAGACTGGGGCTTAGGAGAGAGGAATTTAGGAAAGAGTGAGGTGAGAGTCTAGGCACAGAACTGTCAAGTCATGGAAAAGTTCCCCATGTCACATGTCCCCTGGAGTTGTCTCTGTTTTTCTGCTTTGTCCCTTGGAGTGACTGGTCACAGCAAGCCTGGTGGCCAACCGGCCTGGACATAGCTGGAATGGGACTCTCATCACTGCTGCTCATATTATTTTTGCTTTTTTCCTCATTTTATTCGTTTGGCAGATTGGGGGTCAAAAATACTTTGGGGAGTAGTAAGCAATAAAGTTTAAAAGCTAATTAATTTGAAACCATGGTTGTGAGAGTTTGTCTTTGCTGAATATTTCTGGATATAATCAAACACCTCAGGATAAAGCAGAAGGGACAGGCTCCTGCTCTCGGTGCCCATGGAGTTCTTCCCTAAACCACGAAGTTTCTCTTCTAGTTATGTTCTGGGGTACCCTCACCAAATTTTTCATTAATGTGTGTAATCTGTGTGTGTGTGTATTCCTCAAGACCCAGTGGAACCTGAGTGATGAGAACAACACAGAAACCAGTATACTGAACAAGTCATAAGGAACAGACCCCTCAGGCGGTGCAGCAGACACCAAGGTTTTCTACCCACTCACATTCCAACCCTCTTCTTGGTCCCTTCAGTCCTGACTTTGTTCAGGAATCACGCATACGTGTGCTTCAGGGAACTCTGGTCCCTAGCTAAATCAATCCTTATAGTCCCAGGCCTCTTGCCAGTGATTAGTTTAGTGATGGACTAAATTCTTCCCAATAATACAGAAAGCAATGGCTGCTGAGTAGGTCCTGGGAGAGTTTGGGAAGGGCATCTATTCATTTGCCAGGGCTGGTGTAACAAATTACCACAGACTGGGTGGCTTAAGTAACAAAATATATTGTCTCACAGTTCTGGAGGCTGGAAGTCTGAAATCAAGATGTCGGCAGGTCTGGTTCCTTCCTGGGGCTGTGAGGGACAATCTGTTCCAGGCTTCTCTCCTTGGCTTGTAGATGGCCGTCTTCATGTTCACACGGCTTTCTCCCTGTGTCTTCACATCATCTTCCCTCTGTGTGTTTCTCTGTGTCCAGATGTTCCCTTTTTATAAGAGAAGACATAGAGATAACAGAGAGGGAGGCCATGTGAAGCCGAGCCAGAGAGGAGTGTTGCAGCTACAAGTCAAAGAATGCCAAAGACTGCAGTAACCCCAGAAGGCAGGAGAAAGGCACGGAACAGATTCCCCCCTCAGAGCCTCCAGAAGGAAGCAACTCTGCTCATACCTTGTTTCAGTTCTGGCCACCAGAACAGTGACAGAAGACATTTCTGTGTTTTAAACCACCCAGTCTGTAGTAATTTGTTATGCCAGCCCTATCGCACAACCTGTGTGGCCAAAAGCACTGCATTCACACAAACAGAAGCTCCTCTGAATTGGCTGAAAACTGTCATACCTGCGATAAAATCGCCAAAAAGTAAGCTGAACGCTGACTCTCAGCAGACATGCAGGAGTCACCAGGAAAGCCAGCTCCTGCACAACCAGGCTCAGCCACCCACAGCAGGATCGACGTGCTGGGTGCAGAGCCTGCTGTAGCAGTGATGACTGCTGTCCCTGGGACCTGGGGAAAGGAGCCCAAGTCTCACAGAAGGGGAGAGTGGACAGAAAGCACTAAAGTGGCCAGAGGAGACCAAGAACAGAAACTAGCCCTGGCTAGTTAGCTGACAACATCACACTTTAGGACAATGGGGCTAGGAAGCTGCCACTGGTTCTGCTACCCCTGGACACTTAACACTGCACTGTTGTCCCAGTAAATAATTTCTCAGCGGTCCCTTCATCTTTGAATTATTGCACAAGAGTTAAAGCCGCAGGTGGCAGCATCTGACTGGCTGAGCCCAGGTCCCGAGATGCCCATGCTAACTCCTGAGGGATGGAGAGAGAGAGAGGTTACCTGTCGGCTCCCGGTTCTGTCATGGGAGGGAGGCCTTTTCCCACCCAGCCTTATGCAGTGGAAGACTCACCCAACATAGAAATAAAGTTTGGATGCTGAGTGTGCAAAGGAACTAACAAGCAGCCCCCACAGTGAAACTACGCAATGGAAGCATCAGAAATAAAACCGAGTAGGAGCTGGAACCAGAAATGCGGAGGTCTGCTTCTCAGCTGAAATGGTCTGGGAAATGAAGGGAAACTTCATTGATTTAGATAGGAATGACTGTAAATTTGTTTCCATTTCACTGGGCAAGGGCGGACTGAACAATACCTTGTAGGGAGCACTTGAATGAAAAACTTCAGGTTTGGCAACGCTCCCGAGGCCCCGGACAGCACACGCAACTCTCAGAACTCGCGCGGCCGGGAAAGGGGCAGGCAGCTGTGCGCATGCGTACCGCGGGGCGTGGACTCGGAGTCCCCCTGCCGGCGCGGATTTTCTCCAACTTCCCTTTCGCTGAGCCTTCAGTGCGCAGGGCTCACAGTGCCCAGCAGCCTGGGGATTAGTAAAAGTGGGCCCAGCTGCAAAGTCTAGTGTGGGTTCCCCAAATAAGAGTGGAGAAGGGGTGGTTAATCAAGAACGCAGTTCTTGGTGGGTCGGGATGGGGACTGGAAGCTGGGTGTTTTTTCATTTCAGGATGCAGAAGACACCTCAGGGCTGAAGCAGAGAATTTCTGTGGTCCTGAGACTGGGTGCAGAGCTGACACTGTGGCTCTCAGGAGTCTGCCCCTTACCCCGATGGCCAGGACAGGGGACAGATGCCTGCTAGACGCTGTGGCCCTGCAGGGCCCTTCCTGGCCCATCTTCTTCCTCCCCCTTTCTCACGCTCCTCCAGCATCTGTCAGCAGAAGAGAGGCTGTTCTCAGCAGGTCTGTTCTCGCCACTTGTGTGACTCATGGCTTTTTGGCCATGTCTTCTCTCTTGCCCAAGACTTGTATATACATGTAGCCCGGATCAGCTGAGTTTTATCACTGCTTCCTAGATTTCCCCTGCTTCCCTTCTCCAGCTTGAAAACCCAGAACTTCCTCCCACCTGCTGCCAGGTGTCACGTTAGGGCTTCCTGTGTCTGTGCCACACATCTCGGAGACATACACAGGATGATACGGAACAAGTTTAGATTGTTGCCTGGGGACTAATTCACTGCTAAGCAATGTCAATAAGTCCCTTTGGGGTTGCTGTGAACAGGCCTCCTTGGCTGCGGGTACCATCTAGGGATCACTGGTTAGAGAACAGTGCTTCTGTGGCCATGGTCCCTGGGTCTGACACCCTCATTTATGGGGACAAGCCCAGCCCCAACCAGCCTTCTTAGAAATACAGTTTGGCTGTGAGTTAAAAAAAAAAAAAAAATCTAGGCCTAATTAAATCCACAAATCTTAAGTGTACGGAGAGTTTTTATGAATTTATGTCCCTGTGTAACTGCCGCCCAGATCCAGATACACATGTGATTGGACTTGAGAGGGTGAGTCAGAGCCAATTCCCATCGGGGGATGGGGCCGCCTAAGGCAGTGGTTCTTAAACTTTAACATGCATCAGAATCACCTGGAAGACTTGTTATAACACGGATTGCTGGGCCCCACCCCAGAGTTTCTGATTCAGCAGGTGTGAGATGGGCCGAGAATCTGCACCTCTAACAAGTTCCCAGAAGATGCTGATGCCGTTCTTCAAGGCCACACTTAGAGAACACCACCCCAAGCCAGGATCAAGGATTGCCAGTAAGTGTTAGTTAAGCATACAAAGAAGGAAAGTCCATTAGCAGAATAATTTTGATTAAAATGAATCAGCCAGGTGCTTAGCAGGTGGTTTTTAAGTTCTGGCATTCAGTTGTCTGGCCCAGAACACTTTGATCCAATCTTTGTTTCCAGCAAAGGGGTCACCAAAGTTATAAGCATAGATTGCATCAGCACATTACCTCTTGAGACTACTTACCAGGGAATTAATCAGTCCAAAGAGCTCAAAGGATCGTATGCTTTTTCTTTTTTTTAAATTTATTTTATTTATTTATTTTTGGCTGCATTGGGTCTTTGTTGCTGCACACAGGCTTTCTCTAGTTGCAGCGAGCAGGGGCTATTCTTCTTTGTGGTGCGGAGGCTTCTCATTGTGGTGGTTTCTCTTGTTGTGGAGCACAGGCTCTAGGCACGTGGGCTTCAGTAGTAGCGGCACGTGGGCTCAGTAGCTGTGGCTAACGGGCTGTAGAGTGCAGGCTTAGTAGTGGTGGTGCACGAGTTAGTTGCTCAACGGCATGTGGGATCTTCCCAGATCAGGGCTCGAACCCGTGTCCCCTGCATTGGCAGGCAGATTCTTAACCACTGCACCACAAGGGAAGCCCGGATCATATGCTTTTAAAATCTAGAAGACTCACTATACCCTTTTACAGTCAGAGAAAGGGTATTGACAAATTGCTCTGAGATCCTTAGAAGGAGATTAACCAGTCAGTACCTACTGTTAGGGCATTTAAAACATTTTTTAAAGGAGCACTGTGGCATAATAAGAAATATATATCAATATTTGGTCTTCGTCCCCATTTCCTGACACACAGTTCCTAAAACCCTTGGAAACTCTGGAGAGGGATAAGTATCTTTTGTATGCCCATGAGATGACTGGTACCTGGAGGCCCCTAGATGGCTTCTGGATGGAACTCCAAGGCATGAGGAGAGGGTTGGAACTTTTAGTTCCACCAACCTCCCCACCCATGACTGGAGAGGGGCTGGAGATGGAATTCATTCACCAGTGGCCAGTGATTTCACCAATCATGCCTACATAGTTAAACTTCCATAAAAACCCCTAAACCAGGGGTTTGGAGAGCTTCTTGGTTGATGAGAACATTGAGGTGCTGGGAGGGTGACCTAAAGAGAAGGCATGGAAGCTCTGTGCAAGATCTTGCCCTATGCGTCTCTTCCATTCAGCTGTTCTTGAGTTGTATCCTTATAATAAACCAATAATAGTAAGTAAAGTGCTTTCCTGAGCTCTGTGAGCCATTCTGCCAGATTATTGAACCTGAGGAGGGGGTATCATGAGAATCCCCTATTAATAGCCAGATGGTTAGTCAAAAGTACAGGTGACAGTCTGGGATTTTGCCTGGGCAGTCCTATAGGGTCTGCATGCTAACTCTGAATAGTTAGGGTCAGAACTGAATTGAATTGTAGGACACCCAGTTGGTGTCTGGAAAGCAGAAGAATAGATTGGTGTAGAGAAACATCCAACACATCTGGTGTCAGAACTGTTGTGATTAGGCTTCCCTGGTGGCACAGTGGTTAAGAATACACCTACCAGTGCAGGGGACATGGGTTCGAGCCCTGGTCTGGGAAGATCCCACATACCGCAGAGAAACTAAGCCCGTGCACCACAACTACTGAGCGTGAGCTCTAGAGCCCATGAGCCACAACTCCTGAGGCCTGCACGCCTAGAGCCCGTGCTTTGCAACGGGGGAGGCCACGGCAATGAGAAGCCCTCACGCCACAACGAGGAGTAGCCCCCGCTCACTGCAGCTGGAGAAAGCCCACACACAGCAACGAGGACCCAACGCAGCCAAAAATAAATAACTTAAAAAAATATTTGAAAAAAAGTGTGATTAAGGACAGCTCAAGCACATTTAATAAATGTGACACCAACCACCTAAAATGTGCATTTTTGTTTTCATTATCATTTTTCTGAACCTAGAAAGTTTTTCAGGACTTTCCATATGTTCCAGATTTTTAAACAATGATTATATATTGCTTTTATAATCAGAAAAAAACAAACCCCTGTCAACAAAAATTCAATTAACTATAAAGAAGAAAAAAGGGAATTTTGTTCAAGCCAAACTGAGAATTATAACTTGGAAAACATTCTCAGAAATCTCTGAAAACTGTTCCACCTGTTAGAAGTCAAAGGCATAGTCATATACATTTTTGAGACAAAGGATCGTACATCAAAATGACACACTGATACCTTACATAAAGGTCACCAAGGGTACATAGTCCAGGTAAGCTTGTGAAAAGTGAGCAGCAAGTCACCATGACCCCCTACAGAGCTGGGAAAGAACACTATTCTTTTAAGAAGTTACACTGCTAGCCTCACAACAAAGAACAAAAACTGATCTTTATGGTTGAGCAGACTCTCCCATCTTTGAGGAGCTCTGGTTAATGAGTAAGGCAGATGCACACGGCACATTACGGAGAGAGGAGGCCCAAACAAACACACAGAGAGAATTTTATGTTTAATTTTTTTCTTGTCCTGCCTTAAAATATAAATTTCATTTCATCACCCCCAGATAAAAAATTTCCAGGGAAAGCAACAATAGAGATCCCAGGAGTTTAAATGATTCGCTGACTGACACCTCTTGCTGCCTCTATTTGGATAAACAGCTGTATTTAAGAATTTCTGTGTTACAAGACATTTACTTTTCTTCCTAGAAACACATATATATGAAAGTGTCCACGGGCTGTTTCTCAGTGCTATTTGAATCTACGATGTAGAAGAAATAGGTTTTTAAACAATAGTCGTTTTTTAAAATACACCTTTACTGGAGTATAATTGCTTTACGATGGTGTTAGTTTCTGCTGTATAACACAGTGAATCAGCTATATGTGTACATACATCCCTATATCCCCTCCCTCTTGAGCCTCCCTCCCACCCTCCCTATCCCACCCCTCTAGGTGGTCACAAAGCACCGAGTTGATTAGTCTTTTAATATACTATCTTTCTACAGATTTTTCTTTTTGAAAAAGCAGCATGGAGATAGAGCAGTGTTTAGATATAGAATGAAAGTTTTTGTGTTTTTTTTTTTTAAAGGAAAAGTAAACCACCGCTTTCACTGTGGAGTAATTCTGGTCCCCCTGATTCATTTTAATCCCCTGTGTTTACTTAGTGTGGGCTCTGCTTCAGCCAGTAGTTGTTCTGTGAGCAAGCATTCTGGCAACTTTTTCTTTAGAAAGAAATGCACTTGCAGACAGGATCTGCACAATCAACCCTGTCTTCCGGGCCTCCAGGGCTGAAAAGGAAGTGACCAAAGTGAGAAACTACACTCAGATGGATTCGCAAGTCCTAACCTTAACATCACACTGGGGCGGGGCTTCCTCCGGGTCCTTCCGAGGCTGTGGCCACAAGCGTCAGCGGCGGGGAAAGCAGACTCCTTGCTAACCACACGTCATGGTCCTGAAGACAGGACCAGCTGGGGGCAATCTGCCGTGGGGGGCAGGCGTGGCTCTTCCCACTCCCATTAGGGCAAATGGCAACCAATGTATGCAGCTGCTTCTACTTTTCCAAAATCGCAACTCATCGGTCGAGTGTTTGATCTCTTTTAAATCTAAAAAATAAACTTAAAAAAAAAGGCATGTTTTTTCAGAATGTGAAATGAAATAGCGTAGTTATGGATGACCCATCCCTCCTTGGGTTCTTTGTTAATATGTCCCTAAACTCATGTTCGCCCGGCTCCTCTCAGGGGCAGGGGCTTGTAGCTTTGCAAGGCGGCGCTCTCCATCACTAGACAGCTCTCCTGGGTAAAGAGCGCGTACTCACTCTGAGCTGGGGTCTGCCACCGGTGCCTTCCCCAGCCCCCCAGGCTTTCGGAGCACGCCGGATGAAGTCCCATCCCTCCCATCCCTCCGCCACAGGACAGCACTTCAAGTCTCTGTTATTTCATTTTCTCTGAGTCTCCTGTTTTTCAGAGCAAGCATTTTGAAGGTTCTCAACTGTCCTTCAAATTCTCGGGTTGCTACGTGCCTCACTTCGGGCTCGCTCTCCACCAGACGCTCTCCAGCCTGTTCAAGT